ACACGATCAAGTCCCCACATAGCACGGATCCCAGTGCTGAGCAGCTTCCTGGGCTCAAGAAGCACGTGCTCCCTGATCTGTGAGGCACACGTCATTCATGTACGTTTACCAAGCAGTTCACTTAGGGTCAGTGCATTTTATGCACCTTACTCTACGTATATTTTACCAAGAGAAACAGACACACAGAAAGAATAGTACAGAAATGTCTCCCCAATAAAAGGGCTCATCGAGTCATGCAGAAAGCTTCAGCCCAGTGGCGCGTCCCAACTCCAAAGACAGAGGGAAAACCCCAAAAGGACCCAGTTAGGAAAGATGATGAGAGAGATCAACACTCAGCCCAGCAGTCACCTTTCCTGCTGGCGGCCCTGGATCGCCGGCTCCTGCTTTCTGTGGGGTGCCCGTGGGGCCCCTCCACACGCACCCAGAGCGCAGACAAGGAGCCCACGGGGTCCACCTCGCCGACCTGCCCGTGAACCACAGCCGGAGTGCACTCCCGACAGAACCAGAGACGGACCCAGGAAAGGTGTGGGCACCAGCGCCATTCAGGAGGGAGGCCGGGAGACGGCAAACCCCGCCTGAGCGTCAGTCCCGACCAGGGCCATAGACGCCATCAGTCTGCTCACTTCCCAGCTTTCCCGTTTCCAACGGCCAAGCAGCACGTAACACACCCACAACAGCGGAAGCTCGGTTCCCAGACTGCACCCAAACCTGGCAGGCGGGGCAGCGGGCGGGATTCTGCCCGGCGGAGACGCCCACAGACACGCATCTCCACGGCAGTCAGCGCACCACTTCCACGCGGGGCAGGAGGGGGCACCACACGTCAGAGATGCGCCAATTACACCTCAGACAACATGCGCCAAGACCTGCCGGAATCTGCCCCAAGAGCTACAGAAAATGGCAGGAAGGAGATAAAATCGGCATAAACTTGCCACAGCACAAGAGAAAGATCTCCGAGGACAGGAGGTCAACACAGTGCGGGCTCACTGCCGAGTGACGACTGCACTGGGCCCCAAGCGCCATGCAGACGGCTTTCATCAAAAGCAACAGAACCAGGGACTGGACCCGCCGGCCTCCTCCTGCCCCACAGCCCTGACTTGGGCAAAGACCGGATGCTGACAGTAGCAGGAGGGGCCGCCATCCCCGGGCAGGAGCCCCGCAGAAAGGTCTGCAGAGGACAACAGGCAAGGGTCCTCTCAGGACTGCAGGCTCCTAGGGCCGCCTAGCACTTCCCCAAATACGTCGGCCTCAGCCCTCGCTGACACCCCACTCTGAGGATGCGGCGAGTTCTCTTTTACTGAACCAAGAGGTCACTATTTCTAATAGGACGGATTGCTTCTGTCCTTATGATTAGTCTGCAGTTTTACTGCCACATGTGTGCAGCATGATTGCTGCTCTTTACAACTTATCTGGGCCTGATGCACGCGCTACTCTAGTAAACACAGCATGCCGGTTTTTAGAAATACGAGTTCTCTACCGGGAAACGGTTCTTCACATGCAGAAGATCTTCAGGTCAGCCACAGAAAAAGCTCACAGTGTGGCCACAGCAGTTGGAAGGAAGTTGGTGGGGCTGGGCCAGCACCGAGGGGGTCAAGGGCAGAGTGCTCCCCCAACAGAGGGTCGGCTGCCTGCCAGGAACAAGTCCGCGTGTGCACGCACCAAGAACACGGGCTTCACACTGGTCAAACAAAAGTCCGACCAAACTACGGGGAGGACGCATAGCCATCATGGGGCTTTCACATGCCCTCCAGGGACAGGACAAGCACAACCAAACTGAGCGAGCATCACAAGGAAACCTGACCTGAGTGACAGGTACAGACCATGTGCAGAAAAATGCTCCTTTCAAGGGCCCAGTGGCCCAGACGTGACCACGTACTGGGCCATAAGGCAAGCCTCCACCGTTTCAAAGGACGGAGGTCCTGCAAACAGTATGATCTGTAATGAGAACGAACCACACTATTCGTAAACCACGGGTCAAAGGAAGAAGCACAATGGAAATGCACAGTCTGATGTGCTAACCACAAGCCCAGGGCCGTGGACGGAGGGTCCCTGAGTGCGACACCCACAGCGGCGGAGGGTCCCTGAGTGCGACAGTTCGCCCGGCCGCCTTCCCGGCAGGCGGGAACAGGCGCACCTTGTTTGCTCTGTGCAGACACTACGCTTCTCACAGACGGAAGGCTCCCAGCCTCCCCTGCCTCCAGCACATTTTTGGGCGCCATTTTTCCAACCGCACTCGCTCACTTCATGTCTCTGTGTCACATTTTGTTAATTCTCAATATTTCAAATTTTTCTTATTGTTTTATCCATTACAGTGATCTGCGACCAGTGATCTCTGATGTTCCTGTTGTAATTGCTTCCGGCCGCCGCGAACCATGCCCACAGAAGACCGTGAACTTAATCAATGTCCTGTGTGTCCTGACTGCCCCCCCACAAGGCGTTCCCTCCTCCCCCTGCCCCCCTCCAGCCTCCCTGGTCCCTGAGACACAACAATACTGGAATTAGGCCAGTTAATAACCCTACGGTGGTCTCTAAGTGCTCGAGTGAAAGGAAGAGCCGCCTGGCTCTCACCTTAAATCAAAGCTAGAAATGAGTCAGCGGAGTGAGGAAGGCGCGTGGAAGGCGGGAGAGGCCGAAAGGCTGGCCTCTTGCACCAGCCAGGGAGCCAAGCTGTGAATGCAAAGGCCAAGTTCTTGAAGGAAATGAAAAGTACCACTCCAGTGAGCACACGAACGATAAGACAGCGGAACAGCCTTCGTGCTGATCCGGAGAAAGTCGGAGTGGTCGGGATGGAAGGTCAAACTGGCCACCACCGTGTTCCCTGCAGCCCAAGCCTGGTCCAGAGCCAGGCCCCAACTCTTCAGTCCCGTGGAGGCTGAGAGGGCAGGAGCCTGCAGAAGAAAGTCCGGAGCCGGTGGAGGTGGGCTCAGGAGCCTTGAGGAAAGAAGCCGGCTCCCTAAGGTACGCGTGCGAGGTGAAGCAGCCGCGCCGATGGAGAAGCTGAGCGCGTTCTCCCGAAGATCGCGCGAGGCTCGCCAGGGAAGGTGGCTGCACTCAGCGGCTGACCTGCAGTGCGGACGCACCAGCCTTCTACCCGAAGAAGGGGCCGTCTAGGGCGTCCACAGCTCGAGAGGCGAGCTCGGTGCGTCTGCAAAGCTTCGGACGCCAGGCTGAGCCTCCTGTTAGCGGCGAGGCAGCTGGCGACTCTAAGGGGAAGCCAATGCTCATTTACCGTCCTGAAAACCCAGGGCCCTTAAAATCCTACGAAATCTGCTCTGCCTGTGCTCCATAAACAGAACAACAAAGCCTCGATGACAGCACATCTATTGACAACATGGTTTCCTGAATATTTTCAACCCAATGTTGAGACCTGCTGCTCAGAAAAAAAGGTTTCCTTCCAAACCTTACTGCTGGGGGTTGCTGCACCGGGGCGCCCAAGAGCTCCGACGGAGCCGCGCAATGAGATGAATGCAGTGTTCATGCCTGCTACCTCACCAGCCATCCTACAGCCCAGGGGTCGAGGGTCAGTTTGATTTTTAAGTCTTATTATCAAGAAATGCATATCCGAAGGCTGTAACTACCATACAGAGTGACTCCTATGATGGATCTGGGCCAAGTAAATGGAAACATCCTGAAAGGGATTCACCGTTCTAGATGCCGTTAAGAACATTCGCACTCATGGGCGCCTGGGTGGCTCAGTTGGTTAAGCGACTGCCTTCGGCTCAGGTCATGATCCTGGAGTCCGGGGATCGAGTCCCGCGTCGGGCTCCCCGCTCAGCGGGGAGTCTGCTTCTCCCTCTGACCCTCTTCCCTCTCGTGCTCTCTATCTCTCATTCTCTCTCTCTCTCAAATAAATAAATAAAATCTTTAAAAAAGAACATTCGCACTCATGGGAAGAGCTCAGACTATCCACAGGGCTTTGGAGGAAGTGGATTCCAGCCCCCGTGGATGACGTTGAGGGGTTCAAGTCTTGAGTGGGGGACGTCACCACCCATGTGTGCTGGAAACAGGAGAGACCCAGGATCAGAAGTGGGGCCAGAAGATGGGACTGAACTGCTACAATCTCACGATAAAACCCGAAAGGAGGCGGAGAGGCTTCTTCTGGGTGAGCAAAGAACGTGCATTCTTGAGACGGAAACTGCTCCTGCTGGAGACGCTGTGGGCATTGCTGACGTGACAGCGAAGGACCAGACTCTCACAAAAACTGCCTCGATCACGCAGCAGCAGGGTTTGAGAGGACCGGCTCCCATTTTGGAAGAAGTTCTCCTGTGGGTAAAATGCTGTCGAACAGCATCGCCTGCTACAGAGAAACCCTTGGTGAGAGGAAGAGCCCATCAGTGCGGCAAACTGCCTTCTTGTCTTATTTTAAGAAACTGCCGCGGGCACCCCAGCCTCCAGCCCCCACCCCCCTGACCAGTCAGCGGCCAGCACCGTGGGGGCCAGACCCTCCTCCAGCAGACAGGCCGTGCCTGGCTGAGAGCTCGGATGACCGTGAGCGCTGTTAGCAATGAGGCATTTTTCATTAAGCTATGAACACTGACTTTTCAGACACAATGCTATTGCACATGTACAGACTACAGTGTGGTGTAAACATAACTTTGGAATGCACTGGGAACCCAAACAGTCCATGTGACTCACTTTACTGTGAGCCTCGCTTTACTGTGGTGGTCTGGACGGAACCTGCAACGTCTCTGAGGTCCACCATAAAGACCACAGAGCGAGGGGATGCAGAGCGTCGGGAGGACTCTTCCATGGCCTGACATTCCTGACAGTGGCCTCATGCAAACGTCTGAGAGGGGCTGGCAGAACGTGTTCCTGCCTGAGCTGACCACAGCCAACGTCCTCCTTAATGGTGCAAGACTGGACGCTTTCCCCAGAAGTCAGGAGTAAGACACTCCTGTTCAACACGGTTAGAAAGCGCTAGCCAGGGGTCACTGCAGGCGGCCCGCTCTTGCCCTTCACCCCTGAAACTTGCCCTCATCCAGAGCCCCCGCCATGGGGAATACCATTCTGCAGGGTCTGTGCTCTTGACTCCTTTCCCAGGTTCACATGGAAGCCGCCGCCCAGGGTTGGGGTTTTGCCGGCACCTAGAAAAACAAATCACACTGATTAGTCAAAACTTGGCAGGAAAGAGCCATACCAGCAAACTTCACCGCCTGGGGTGTATCTGAAGCATGGATACAGTGGGATCAGCGTTCATGGTTGGAGAATTGGGGCCTCCCCCTGCCATTCTTAGCAACCGGCAAACCTCCCCTCCCTCTGGCATGCCAGTGCGTGTGTGGCCTCTCTAACCGCGTTCCAGAGCTCACACTGCCGCGTGGCAGCCAGAGAGAGCACAGCTCACCTGCAAACTACAGCATCCCCCGGGGCCCTCTGCGTGCCCAGGCCCAGCCCATGCACAGGAGTTACACCTGCACAGTGGCCGCTGGTCAATGGCACCTGTCCCGCCACCCACAGGACCGTGGCCCAGAGCCTGTGAGCCAGCTCGCCTACAGGACACACTCACACCTCTACCCACCTGTGTGCTGCCCACCCACATAATAGCAGCCTAGGGACCCTGGTCCCAAAGGGTGGCCACAGCCAGACCTGCAGGCGCTCTGCCTTGGATCTCCCACCAGTGCTGAGATGCCCCAGGAAGTGCCATGCACTCTGCTCTGCAAGGCCCTGGGGCTGAGACTTCCGCCCTGTCACCCTTCAAAGACAGCCAGGTGGACGTCTGGATTGCTTGCCGGACTTACAAGCCCCACCACCGAAGCCGAAGAATGCTCGGGCAGCCAAGAGAAGGCAGCGGAGCTGGGAAGTGCCGCCCACCCCACGGGCTGGTGTGTTTGTGAGCAAATGCACAGCGAAGAATTAGAGGCTTCTGCAGTCAGGGGGCACCTCACAGCCTCAGCCACAGGACGTCAGGCCTGCAGGACGGACCAGGACCCATGCGACAATGAAATGGAAACTCAGACCTGCGGTAGGGACCTGGGAACCCAGACCACGTCTGGGAACAGGCCCCCAGGGAAAGCACATGGCCCACGTCCGGGGCCAGCAGGGACCTCGGGGTCACCCATGGGCAGCCAGCAGCACAGACAGCGCAGAACAAGCACGACCTCCAGCAAATCCCAAACCAACACTCACGAGATTCCTTAAAGATCTCAGTAAAACAGTTCCCAAGTTTAGCCGGCAACAAAAAGAAATAAGATAAGCCAAGAGAATGTGGAAAAGACCAACTGGTGGGCAGCCGCTGGGCAGCCGCTGGGCCACGGGCTGAGGTGGGCTGGCCGGGAGCAGAGCCGGGAGCCGGCTGCCTGGGGGGCCCAGCACCCAGCACTCCCACCACGGCGGCAGAGCAGAGGGGCCTGGGAGGGCTGAGGCCCCCAGCTGCGCAGCATCCTCTGCTGCCTCCTCTATGGTTACCGTGGTTACGAAGGCCTCAGGACCAGCCTGGTGGCCTCCTCCTGTAGAGCACAGTGCCCAGGACAGGTGTCACTCACCAGCTGGGGACGGATTTGCTGTCACCAGGAGGGCTGGTTTCTACTGCTGCCCCAACCAGCCACTGCCGCAGACTTCATGTCCTCAAGAAGCTGGTCACAGAGTGTGGGGAGGGAGAGGGGCAAGCAGCATGTCCTCAGGGGGCTGGAGAGCTGCAGGGCCCAGAGGAGATTCATCCACCTGGACGGGCACCAAGGGCTTCCAAAACCACCTGTCAGCTCCGTGGATCCTGGCACAGGCTCGCTGGGCTGAGATCAGGGCTCTGCGTCTCCGACCCCCCAGTTTTGGTGGCGGTGGCTTCTTACAACTTGGGGATCTTTACATTTGCAATATTTTCACACAAGAACCACTGAGGAAGGCCCACTCACTCATAGCACCTGACCATGACAGCCACAAAAGCATGTTTAGGCTTAGCCGGCAACCCCCCAACCTTTAATTTAGGAAAAGAGAAAAATCACCATGTTGTCTTAATTAAAATGGATGTGTTCTTTTAATAAATAATTGGACTACTGCATTAGAAAAAGGCTAATGGGGGCACCTGGGTGGCTCAGTCATTAAGCATCTGCCTTCGGCTCAGGTCATGGTCCCGGGGTCCTGGGATCGAGCCCCGCGTCGGGCTCCCTGCTTGGCAGGAAGTCTGCTTCTCCCTCTCCCACTCCCCCTGCTTGTGCTCTCTTGCTCTCAAATAAATAAAATCTTTAAAAAAGAAAATGAAGAAGAGTGGAACTTCGTTCTGGTTGAGTATTAAATGCAATCTCCTTATTCCTCGAAATCTCGCAAAACTGCCAGAGGTCACCCCCCCAGGACCCCCACCCCCCTCGCTGTGCTTCCAAGACTTCTACTTCCTGCTCCTGTGCTGTCCTTCCCGGCCTCTCCCTGAGGACCCGGCCAGTCTTCCTGGGGCAGCTCCGACCCTGGGGACGATCTCCTGACCCCTGTTCACACACACACACGTGCGCACATTGGCCCCATGCTCTCTGAGCTCCCTGTGCATAGCCCCAGGGCATCAGGGGCCCCCAGGAGACATTGGGACCCTGTCCCCTCATAGACTCAGTTCTCTGCGGCAAGGGGCTGGGGTCCAAGCCGGCTTTTGCCAAACTGAGGTAGATTCTGTTACTCAGCAAACACCACCCACCGGGGTTTGTTACAAGAGATAAAATCTGGAACGCACGTGCGGATAGCCTAAAAAGTGCCCCGTAAGACCAGGAGGCCAATGTTTCCTGAAGCATGAAGGAAAGCTGAATGACAGCTGCCAATGGAGGATATTCTTGGCCTTCAGACCCCCTTCACGCCATTCTCTCAACTTCTAAAAACATTAGAAACTTTCTGTGACAAGCTCCTGCAACAAAAAACCACAACAAGCTGAACTAAGGGTGGACTACGACCAGGCCAAGAGCGCCCCCTCGTGGCCTGCGGCGGAGGGCCCGATGCCTGGCCCAGTGCCGCCAGCCACTGGCAGACCCCAGAATGGCAGACCCTGGACCCCGAGGGGCTGCCGCAAGCCTGGCCACTATGAGCACGGGGGCCAAAGCCAGCAACACCAACATCTCAGCACCAGGGAGAGGGAGGCCAGGCTGCGGGGCCTCAGCACCCCAGGAAGGCCTTGCACACATCTGTCCCCCGTTTCACCCACAAGCTCCCCCAACATGGGCAAGCACACCTTCAAGAAGTCATATGAATCTGACTTAAAGGGAGGATCACTGTCGCTGCCGTGTAAGCCCTTCTCCAGAGAGGTCCTGCAGCCGGAGACCCCACATGAACACAAGCCCCTCTGGGGCTCCCGAGAGACCCTGGACCAGGCCACGGAGAGTGCTGCGTACCAGGACGCTGCCCGGACATGGATCTGTCGTGACACAGGGAGCTAAGCGGGGCAGCACCGGAGACTCCTTTCCACCCAGCGCAGCTCCCAAAGAGCCTGTTTCGTGGGGATTACAATTCTGATTTTGGAAACCATGCAGTGTGGAGCATGGTAGATGAAAAAAGCTGCAAATGACATCTTAGAAAGAGCAGCCCTGTCTCATCCTGTGCCCCTAGCACACAGTTCAGCCCACATTTCCTGAGAACAGGCACCTTGGCCAGGAACTCAACGGGGCTTTGAGGGGCTGCAGGATAGCAGCAGAGCTGCAGAATCTTCCACCTCTGGGACCAGAGCTCAGCCAGGACACCATCCTGTGCTCAGAGGCCTAAGGCACAGGGGGGCTGTGCCTGGGAGAGCCCCCAAAGGGCAGGGCACAGGCTAGGCAGCTGGTGCAGGTCCCATCATTCTTTAGCAAGCAAGAGCGGCTCCCCCTCCTGGGGGCCCTCCCCGTCCCGTCCAGGGCTGGAGGCCACAAACCTTTCTCACTGTTTTACGGCTGGGGAGAGCTCATCCAACACAAACGTGTGGCAAGTACTTCACCACTCCTACCTGTGACTACACCAGCGCTCAAAGACGTCTTCGCTTAAAAGACCAATCTGCAGCCCTGACAAGCTGTGATTATGGAAACCATGGAAAGTGCTCCCCGGCAGAGAGAGGGGAGGACCCCAGGGGAGCAGGAACCACAGGCTGCCCGGTGCCGGAGCTCCCTCTGCCTCCAGGCTGTATGTCATGGGAGCAGTGCTGACAACTCCGGAGGGAGGCCCACAGGGGGTGGGCACCATCGACGGCAGAGGGGACACCCAGGGAGGAGCTGCTAGCTCTGAGGCCCTCAGGGTGGACACATGGCACAAGACACTCACACGAACCCTGCTGGGAAACCCTGCCCTCCAGTCCCCAGCACACTTGGATGAGCCCCTCCCTAGGGGAGTGGCAGGACCCTTCCTCAGGGCCCACTAGGGCCCCAGCCAGTCCAGCTTTGCCCACTGACTTGACATTCTGGCCACGTGGAGCTGCGTGCCGAAATCACACACCCATCCCTCCTCTCGGCTGGCTGCCTTCCAGGGCCTTCCACGGCCCGGATGTCCCCAGGACCACTCGCGCCACCACCACTGGATGCCAGCCTCACACTTTGCTGGTCTGAGAACATCTTCCAGGGAATCGGGGACCAGAGCTCCTCGGCCCTTAGAGGCCAGGCCTGGCACACAATGGGTGCTCACCAGGGAAGACCCCTGGACGGTCAGGAGCCCACAGAGGAAGGGCCTCTGGCCTCACAGCCCCAGCATCTCATTTACAGAGTCACAAGTACACCCCTAAGCTAACTGTCCATACGCAGTTCTCAAGGAACAAGAAAGAATGCTTTGGAAAGATGGTGACCATGGGCCCCAGATGAGGGCAGCTGAGGGAGAAAGCTCAGCTTTCAGGGCGAGGCTGGAGTGAAGGAGGACCCGAGAAGAGCCAGGTGGCATGCGCCTCTGCCGCGGGCGCTAGAGTAACCCAAGTCAACAGCCCATGTGAGCAGGGGAGGGAGCAGGCGGCTGACGGAGGCCCCACCAGGCAGGGGGTGGGGGGGTGGGGGGGGTGGGTAAGAACCCACCGCATGTCTGCAGCACTTCCCTGCAGGCCCTCCAGAGAACAAGCCCATAGGACAGAGCCAGGCTGGGCTGGGGAAGGGTCTTCACACCCATGAAATCACACCTTCCCACCGCACCTGGCTCTGTGACCGACTTCACTGCACACAGGTGGGAGCACGTCGCTCACGTCCAGGACTCTCGGGGTATCCCTCTCCTCTGCAACCTGCTTCCCCAACTGCAGTGGGGGCAGGCGGTCATCAGGTGAGGGGTGCACTCAGCACAGCACCTTTCCATGGGAAACCCTAAGCGTCAGCTCCTACAAGCATCTGTTCTTCCTGTTGTCCTTACTCTCTTTCCAGTGACTCAAGGGACAGTTTGACCACGTTGACAAACCCACAACACAGCGCTGTGGAGCCTCCACCCCGGCAGTCCAAGAAGTTGCCCCAGAAGGGCATGAAGATGTGTGCCCTGCATCAGAGATGATGGGGAGAGAGAGGCCAACCAGACCCAAGGCCGGATCTTTGCTAAGATCAACTAAAGTGATAAACTTCCAGTAAGAGAGACAAAGGGAAGAACAGCGAGGATGTGAAAGCAAGTGTGACAGGAAAACAGGGCATCACTAGAGACCCTGCAGACATCAAAGGGTAAAGGAAGGGTACCGACAGCTCTGCACGCTTAAGCTCAGCAACTTAGATCAAATGGACCAAATCCTCAAAACCACAACTTCACCCACAGGGAAAAGGGTAAAATATCACAATAACCTACAACTATTAAAGATACTGATTCTGTAGTTAAAAACCTTCTGGGAAAAAAAAACCTCTAGGCCCAGATGGCTACACTGGTGAATTCCACCAAAGATTCAAGGAAGAAGTAACACCAATCCTACACAGTCTCTTCTAAAAAAATAAATAAGTAAGGGAAGGGAGCATTTCCCAACTCCTTCCATGAGATGCAGCACCTCCGTATCAAACCAAAGACATACCCACACTCCACAGAAGCATCCTCAACAAAATGTTAGCGCGTCTAATCCAGCCACACGTACAAGAATAATACTCCACGATCAAGTGGGTTTACCCCAGAAGGAAAGGCAGGGTCAAACATTTAAAAATCAGCCACACAGAGTAAAGAAGAAAACCATGACTGTGTCATTTGATAGAGAAAAAGCCTTTTACAAAATTCAACAGCCACTCATGATCAAAACTCAACAAACTAGGAGTAGAAAGGGAACTTCCTCAACTTTATGGACCAAAAGCCTACAGTTAACGACAACACTCAATGGGAAGACACTGAATGCTTCCAGAAGACTGGGAACAAGGCAAGCATGTCTGCTGCGAGGCAAGAAAAAGAAACGAAAAGAAGAAATAAAACAGACCTTATTTATAAACAACATGACTATCTAAGTAGAAAATCCCCAGAAATCTATTTCAAAACCTCCCACAACTAATAACTAAGTTTAGCAACCTCGCAGGAAACAGGCGGACAACAGAAATCAACCATATTGTCACACACCAGCAATGAACGCCTGCCCAGAGCTCAGTCTGTAGCCCAGGTGCGCAGCCTGGAGAAACGAAAACGTGTTGACAGAGCGAGCCCCCGCCATGCTTGCGGCAGCGCTGTCCCTCAGCGACACGGAGCGACCCCATCCAAAGCGCCTTCCGCATCTCACCCCCCAGCCTCCGGAGGGGGCACGACCCAGCCACGACAGGACCCAAGGACTGACACTAGGGCCACCCTGGGCCAAGTCACAGGCAGTGGGCAGAGGGGAGATGCCAGTCCCCAAAGCTGGGGACCCAGAGCACACCCTGCGCGCGGCGCGGCTGGGGACAGGGCGGCACAAAGGGCCCGCTCCAGGGGATTGGGGCTGTAGAACTTTTCTTTATGCTCGCAGTGCGGACAGTCCCGGAGCTGTGCCCAGGTGAAGCCAGTTTACCGGAGGTCTAGAGTCAGGGCGGGCCAGAGGCACCCTGCAAATCCCGTTTTCAGCTCAGCAGCCGGCCGGTCGCCCGCCCCCCCGATCGGGCGCTGGGGACCACCTGGCTGCCCGAGGCGTGCCGCGCCCCCGGCGGCCCCCCCCCCCGTGTCGCCCGGCGCCCCGCCCGCGGCCCCCGCGCGTCGCCCCGCCGGTGTCCCCCCTCGTCCGCCCCCCGGCCCCCGCGCAGACGCACCGTCCAGCGACACGAACTGGCCCACGGCCGACGAGCCGCCGCCGCTGTTCTCCACGAACTGCACCTCGGACACGATGATGTTGTCCTCGAGCACCGAGCCGCAGCCGGTGCACACGGCATCGCCGCGCGCCGAGTCCAGCTCGATGTCCGTGCCGCCGCAGCCGCGGCACACGCGGCCCGTCATGCCGGCGGCTCCCGCGCGGGCTCGTCC